TCTCACACACACACACACACACACACACACACACACACACACACATACACAACACACACATTTACCATTCCCCTATGCTTCTCTACCTAGAGAAGTAATAGTGAAATGAACAAAAAAGTGAGCGACCAGAAGACATGATAGAAGTCCTAGAGAGCTAGCTAGGCTTCTGAGAGCTTGTGACTTGATGCAGGGGTATGAGAACTACATGCCACACTGTTTTATGAAAATATTAGTTCTCATTTATATAGGATTTTAGCACAAGAGTTACTGCCTTCATTTCACAGATGAGGAAACTAAACGTCATGGAATTTGGGGCCCTAGAGACCATCTACACTAAGAGTTCTTAATCTAGAATTCACAGACCACTAAAGGGTCTATGGATATGTTTTAGGGTATCTGTGAATCAGTATGGGAAAAATACATCCTTATTTTAATTAACTTCTAAACAAATTTAGCATTTCCATCAATTATTTTAAAACATTATTCTGAGAAGGAGTCCATAAGCTTAACCAGATAGCCGAAAAGGTCCAGTACACAAAAAAGTTCAAACATCACCTACTTAGGCCAAATCCCTTCATTTCACTGATTAGAAAACTGAGTTCCCAAGCAGATGATTTCTCTAGGGTCCCACATACAAAATATCAGAAATAAGATTAGAAACCAGTCTAGCTCTTCTGACTCTAAGTACAGAGCTCTGTCTGCCATGCTGTCTGAACCTAGCTCACTTTTAACTCCTTAATGCTCAGAAATTATATTTTACTTTCTATTTTCTTTTTTCACTTAATTTTATTTATTTTATTCTGAACTCTCTATTTAAAATACTTTCTATTTTTTAACATTTTCCCCCAAATGTCATTGTTTCTGAGCTGTCAGATTTTTTTTTCCAGAGAAATTTTCTCATCTTCACAAAATTTTGAAACATCTGGACATATTTTATTTCACCAAATATCCCTGGAGAAATCACCCTGACACAATGAAAAATAATAGAAAATCCCAATGTCAGAAATTTACATTTTTCTTAATGATGTGAGGTGGAATATTTGCATTCCACCAGAAAGTGTCCTGGAACATTAAAATCTGATGCCAAGAGTGCCATATCATTGCAGTCAGCCTGCATTATAACTCAATTATAGTATCTGCAATACATGTAAATTATCTTTTGCCTACTGAGTTTTTTAAAAATACATTTCCTTGGCTTAGAATTTTCTCGTGGAAAACATCCATCCCCTGGAAGTCAAAGGATCATAGATCTGAAGCTGGAGGGGCTCTCAGGGACCATCCAGTTCAACCTCCTCATTTTACAGTTGAAGAAATTGAGGCCTAGCTAGGTTAAGGAACTTTCCCAGTGTGACCCAAATAGTAAGTATCAGAGCTGAGATCAGAACACAGATCTTCTGCCTTCAGTCCCAATGTTCTTTCCACTGCAGCATCTCTTTTTATATATATATATATATATATATATATATATATATATATATAGGATTTGTCCCAATTCGTCCAATTAGAAGTGACATTTGCACATTATTTTCCTCCAATGACACAAGGGTTGATTCAGCTAAGCATGAATTTATTTTAATCTATTTAAGCCAGATGTCCTTGTGGTTAGGAGGTCACTTCTGTGGTACCCTAGGTCAAAAGTGTATGCTCTTAAAATGGTAGAAAAAGAGCCATATGAAAAATTCCCCATATATTTAATAAATCACGTCATAACTATTAGAATGGTAAAGATGACAGAATAAAGGAAAATGGAAAATATTGGAGGTGTGCACTAATACATTGTTGGTGTAGCTATGAATTTGTCCAGCCAGAAGTCACTAAATTCTACATAACCTTTGAACCAGCAACACCTCTACTAGACCCATTCCCTAAAGTGCTCAAAGAAAGAGGAAAGAGACCTTTTTGTTATAACAAAAAACTTGAAACTAACATGTGCCCAACAATTAAGGTGTAGTTGAACAAATTATGGTATATAAATATAATTAAACATTATTGTCCTACAAGAAATGATGACTGGGACAGTTTCAGAGAAACTGTTGTACGAACTGATGAAGAATGAACTAGGAGAACAATTTATCCAATAACAACGACAATATAAGGAGAAACGACTTTGAAAGATTTAATAACTCTGATCAAAGCAATGATTATAGCTTCAAAAGACTCATGGGGAAACATGCTACCCACCTTGTGAAAAAGGGTGATGGACAGTTTTGAATAAGATATATGTATGGTTTTGCTTTGCTTAACTATGATACTTTTTTTACCAGGATTGTGTTTTTCTGTCTTTTTTCTTCATTTGGTGATGTAGAGGTTCAGGGCAGAAAAGGAAAAAGGTAAATGAAGCATTTTTTTAAATGAATAGATCAGAAGGAAATTTAGAAGGAAACACAGACAAGTAGGACAGCTTTGAAAGTGTGTAAAGCTTTAAAAGTTATAAAATTTATTATGCATTTTTAAAAAGCAACCTATAAATAATATAGATTTATATTTTCACGTGAAATCCTTGTTTGTGTTCTGCTTTGCTTATGGAAATGTACTTTTTTATTTTTATTAAATTCAGAATAATTTTTTAAGGACAAAAATATTAGAAGCACAGAATCATAGAATTTCACAAATAAAAGGGACTCTAGTGACCATCTAATCTAATTCGAACCTGCAAAAGAATTCCCTCCATGACATACTTGGTTCTATCTCCTATCTAATTACATATCTTTTTTTATTCAACACCATCTACATGAACACGGATAAGAGACTGTAGGGTACAGTGAAAAAAGAGGGATAAAGCTTGAGTTGAGGCAGAAGGACAGAATTTCAAAGACTCTAAGTAAGGAAGAGCCGAGTTTAAATACTTACTAGCCCTATGACCTTGGGTAAGTCACTTAACCTCTGCTTGCGTCACTGTAAAATGGGAATTACAATAGCATAATCCCAGGGCTGTTGACAGGATCGAATGAGATAATATTTTTAAAGCACTTAGCACAGTGACTGGCACATTTGTTGTTGTTGTTTAGTCAATTAGTCATGTCAACTCTTTGTGACCCCATTTGAGATTTTCTTGGCAAATATATTGGAGTGGTTTGCCATTTCCAGGGTCACATTGCTAGTAAGTATCTGAGGTCAGATTTCAACTCAGGTCCTCCACACTCTAGGCCCAGTGCTCTATCCACCTACTGCCCCTGCCTGGCACACAGTAGGTGCTTAATAAATTATTGTTTCCTTCCTTTCAGTATAACCCAAAATCTTATTAGCCTTTTCTTGCAGACCCCCCAGAAAGGGACAATCTACTTTCTCCCAAGGTAGCCCATTCCACTTGTGAATAATGTAACAACTGTTAAGAATTCCCTTCCATCAAGCATAAATTTGCCTTGTTTCAGTTTACACCAATTTTGCCTAGTTCTAGGGCGACACAGTAAAAATCTAAACCCTATTCTACAAGCCTGACCTTCTAAGAATTGAAAAAGAGTTAGCAAGGTACTTGATTTGATAACATTCATTCAATAGCATTTGTTAATTACCTACTGTGTGCCAGGCATTGTTCTAAACACTCAAAATACAAAGATCCCACCCCCGCCCCCCCAAAAAAATCAGGCTCTGCCCTCAAGGAATTTACATTCTACTAGGGAAAACAATGTTTGCACAGATAGATAAATACAAAATATATTAAAAAAGTAAATCGAAAGTTATTTCTGTGGTGTTAGGACTCTAACACTCACAGAGATTTGGAAAGACCTTGTAGATAAGGTGGAATTTGAGTTAAGCCTTGAAGGAGGCAGGAAATTCTTGGTGGCAGAGGCGAGGAAGGACTGCATTCCAGGCAAGGAGGACAGATAATCTGAACAGAGGCATGGAGAAAGACATAGAATGTCTTGTACAAGGAACAGCAAATGGGACAGTCTGATTGGAACACAGAACTGATGAGGGGGAGTCTGGACTTGAGCCTCAAAAGAAAGGTTGGAGCTAGATTCCAAAAGGCTTTAAATGCTAACCAGAGATGTTTGCATTTATCCTTGAATAAGGATAGGGATTCAGGAATAGAGATAGAGGTAAGGATAGGGATCCCTATCTAGGGAATTGCTGAACATTCTCGAGCAGAGTACTGTGGTCAGACCTATGCTTTCGGCATCTCAATTTGGCCTCTATGGAGAAGGAGATAGAAGTGAGGAACGAGAAGGGAGACAAGGCCAACAAAGAGCTTGTTACAATAGTGTGGGCAAGAGATGAGTAGGGAGAAAGCAAGAGATTTAAAAATTGTTGTGGAGGTAGAAACAATAAGACTTAAACAAGAGTAAAAAACAGCAAGACTTAACAACAACAGCAAGGCTTGACTATTGAATTTGGTTGTGGTACCCTTGACAGAAATAAAAAAATTTAGAACGAGGGAAGAGTTTCAATGAGTGAGTAAATGAAAAGATATTTTTTTAAAAATTAGTTATTTTATTCTGAACTTGAGAAATAAAACAAGCATTCCTACAACATAGTAGAATAGAAAAAAAGATTGCCGATGAAACTACAAATCTATTACGTACAACTTACTATTCCTTTTAAATATATAATAAAGTTATCATGTAACTTTCTTTTTTTTTGTTTTTTTTTCCTTTTTTTCTACCAATAGACACAAATATGTATGTGTATACACATACACATATATGTGTGTATCATTTTATACATTCTTTTATTTGTCAGTTCTCTCTCTGGATGCATTTCTATAAGAACCCAGAGTACAGAACTAGAACTAATGACTGAAAGTTACAGGGAATAGATTTCAGTTCATTATTGGCAGTAACTTCCTAACAATTAAAGTTTTCAAAAAAGTGGAATGGGCTGTCTTAGGCACTGGTGAGTTCTCCATCCCTGGAGATGACACAGCAGTGACTGAATGAACACTTATGAGGAATGCTGTTGGAGGAATTCCTTCATTGGGTTGGACTAAAGGCCAACCCTGAGACCCTCTGATCCTATGTCTCCCTTCCATAAAAACACTGGAAGGTTAAAAGGTAACTTACTTGACACCCCTGCTTCTGAGAAGATTGTAACCAAATCGAATACTGTTTTAAAAAATCCAGAGAAAGCAGTCTTGCCAGCTTCCAACATGTATTCGATGCATAAGAGTTTACATTCTTTCCTCTCAGTGTCTGTTTCTCTCTGTCCTTTCCCTCTCTCTCTTAACACCCACAGCTGGAATACACGGCTCGTCTGGACTTCCTCTGGCGTGTTCAGGCCAAAGAGGAGATCAATGAGATGAAAGAACTGAGGGAGCACAATGAGAACATGCTTCGTAACATTCTGCCAAGTCACGTGGCTCGACATTTCTTAGAGAAGGATCGAGATAACGAGGTGAGTGTTTCCATACCTGGGAGGGACGGTGAGAAAGCTCAGCCTATACTTGCATATTCATACCAACCAAGGAAGAGAATTAATGTTGGCCTAAAAGAAGACAGAATGTTGGCAGGTAGAAACTGAAATCGGTCCTATCTCATAGCATTTAGCTGCCAAGAATTGTCCTTGTTCTATAAAATGTCAGTTTCTTCAGGGCAGGAACTATTTTTTTCAGTGGGTAGAACATTGGCCTTGAAGTAAGGAAGACCTGAGTTTGAATCCTTGCCCCAAACACTAACTAGCCATGTGATCCTGGGCAAATTACTTAAGTTCTTGGCCTCAGTTTCCTCATCTGTAAAATGAGAATAAGAACAACAACAACAATAATAAACACCTGATTGATTGGGTTGTTATAAGGACAAAATGAAATATTACATGTAAAACACTTTGTAAATCTTAAAGCACTAACTCAGTGTTATTGCTGTTGTTGTCGTCGTTGTTGTTAAACACTGACTACCTTGGGCCCCCTGCCAGTTATATTACATTCATTTTATCCCTCCCAAGGTTCTCCAATACCATTAAAGGGGTTGAGGGTGTCTAAGTTCTCCGAAAATGGCTCCACATCCCACTGATAGTATTCTTTCAAGTATAGAAGGGTCTCCTGCACCTCAGTTCCACTTAATCACTGAAAGTCAGATTAGCTTTTACAGAGGAACATATACTTTAAAAGGTAAAATAATAAAACTGTAAACAGCTTAGCTCAGTTCCCATAGAGCAATCCCAAATCCAAGTCCCAAATGCATGCTGGGCTTAAGTCCCAGGCTCCCTGGCTTCTCAGGGCTTCCTTCAGGGGTGGCCAAGTACAGTAATCCCACCTGCAATCCTGGCTTCAAAGATTACCCTGGTTCAAACTCCCGGGTCAGGTGAGAATTGCTACTTGAACCTGAAACTGAGGATGAAACAAAACAGTTAAAAAAAAAAACCAAAACAACAACAGCAACAACAATAACCACCAACCCAGGCCCATTTATTTGAGCCAAGCAGAGGTGGAGAGGAAGTTTTTCTTTTTCTGGTTCAATTCATCATGCCTACCATGTGGGTGAACTGAGATGCTCACCCTTTGGACAGCAGCAGGAGAGCATGTGCAAGAAAGTGATTGTCTCCGTCTGACCACTTTTAAAGGCACAGCCTGTTCCAGCTACACAGCCCATCAAAAACGGCCACTCCCAGCCATGGTGGGTGAACACGAAGAAGCAAGGTACCTCATAGATAGTAGGCACAATACAGCACAAGCTTGCTTTGAATGATTATTACTATTACCTTCAGTACTAGAGCCTTGAATGTTGTAGATGCTTAATTTATTTTTAGCAAATTAGATTTTCTTCTCTTGTTTTTATTTTGATGGAAGGAGGGAAGGATCTGTATTTTATTAGTATAGGGAGTTTACTGGGGAACTGAGTGGTCTGTTGACTTGCCTGGGGCTACACAGTCAGTATTCATAACACACAAGACTGAAATCCAGGTCTCCTGGACACCAAGGCCAGATCTCTATCCTCTTGCACTATGCTGCCTCTTGAAATGAGCTTAACTGAATCAGGTACAATACCCAAACAGAAATTGGAAATGGCTCCTGGAGAAGTTGGCACCTAGGTTGAGCCTTGAAATTAGATGAAGATTGCAATGAGCACAGATAAAGAGGGAGGACATTCCAGAAGTAGCAGAGGCAGTTGATGACATAGTAGAAGAGTGCTGGACCTGGAATCAGGAAGATCTGAGTTCAAATCCAGCTTTAGATGTTTACTAGCTGTGTGAACCTACCCCTTTACCTCTGTTTGCTTCAGTTTCCTCACCTATAAAATGGGGATAATAACAGTACCTAATACAAAGATTTGTTGTTATGAGGATAATGTTTGTAAAAGCATTTAATAATGCCTAGTACATGGTAGGCACCAAAGAAATGCTTAATCCCTTCCCTTTCCTCCCTGTTAGAAAAGGATTATCTGGATGATTGTGAAAAAGGAGAAGAAATGTAGGATGAAATGAGATACCAATACTCTGGTTTGTCTGAAACAGAGAGTATATAAAGGAGAATTCAGTAAGATATCCCTGGAAAGGTAGATTAGAGTCAGATTATTGAGTTTCTTAAATGTCATAACATGGAGATTGTTTTTTATCCTGTGAGCAATCAGAGTGTTGAGCAAGGGAGTGAAATGGATAGACCTACGCATTAGGAAGATAATCTTGGCAGCTTTATGAAGGATGGACTGGATCACAGAGAAACTGGAGACAGGGAGATCATGGAGGTTGTAATATGAATGAAGGCTAAGAGAGTCCTGAACTAGGATGATGGAGGTGGGAGTCAAGAATTGGAAATGGATGGCAGACATATTTTCAAGGTAGCATCCATAAGACTTGGCAACTCCTCATGTGTTGGTGGTACAGAAGGAGGACTCAATGATGAGGATTTTAATAAAATGGGGATAATAATACCTGCCCCAACAACACTACCTCAAAGAGGTAGTTTGAGAATCAATTTGTTCACTCATTCCTTTACTCAACAAGTCTTTATGGAGGCCTATTCTACACCAGGCCCTGTGGCATGCACTAGGGTTACAAAGTCGAAAATGGAATAGTCCCTGACCTCAAGGAGTTTGCATTCTAGTGAAAGGAAAGAATATGTACACAATAAGTATATGCAAAATATGTACAGAGTAAACATGAAATAATTCCAGAGTGGGAAGAGCATTTAAAAGTTGAGAAATCAGAAAGGGCTTTCTGTAGCAGATGTTACCTGAGCTACGTTTAGAAGTAAGCTAAGGACTCTATGAGGACAAAGTAAGAAATGTGTACATTCCAGGTGCAGCATTTAAAAAGTTCAAGAGACATCATTTCTGAGTAATTTAATCATTTTATTTACACTACCAGTATGTTTATTAATAAAAGGATGGTCATTTGGCCATCTCTCTCAGACCAAAGACTCCTCATGGTGGTGGGCTCACAGTTTAATATGCCCTACAAAGCAGATGTTCCTGAGGGTGGCAATCAATTCGAATTGGTTAACAATTAATGAGAGAATGAATAAACAGTGAGAGGCTGGACTGTATTCTGATGAGGGTTATGGGGTACATGACTTAGATCAACCAAGTCTTGGTTACAGAGACTTACCAATTTCCACATCACCTATCTGACAAAAGGGAGGATCCACGTTTTCCCAGAGCTGTCTGAGCAAACATAATGAACAGGAATGCATCCATTAGCCCAAATTTAGAATTGTTTTACTGCTTTGATTAGATCTCGGCCATCCTGGCTAGGCAAAGTCTTTTAGAAAGATTTCCCACACTGGTTGATTTCTCGATGAGGAAGTAGAAAAGTAAAAAACAAAAACAAAAACAAAAACCTTGGTTTCAATACAATAATTAGTTATTAAATACAAGAGAGAAATAATTATTTCTCTCATACTGTTGAGGCAGCCTCCATGCAGAGGCATGGAGATAGAAAGTCACTTATGGGAAATAGTAAATCACTTTGGATGGGAAGATACATATCATGAGGGGAAAGCCATTTGTAATATCTGGAGAAGAAAATAGGCAGTCAGATTTTGAAGGGTTTTTAAATGATAAACAAGAGTTTTTATTTATCCCAGTGGCACTAAGGAGCCACTAAAGCTTCTTGAGGTAGGGTCAAAACTGTGCTTTCAGAACATCATTTTTTTTTCTTTTCAGTTTTATTGCTGCCTCTTGTTTTAAGTTATTTCTGAATATAACTTTCTCCGACTCTCTACACCAGTGAACTTCCTCTCATAACAAATATTTTAAGAAGGAACAAAAAAAAATTGTCAAAATCAGTTGTCACGGTGACTACATCTGATAGCATTTTGTACCCATACTCTGTTTCCTGTCTGAAAAATGAGAGAAATGCATTCCCTAAACTCTTCTAAGGATACAATTTTTGTAGCTCTGTGAAAGGGTGGTGTCAAGAAGACCAGTAAGTGGCTACTTCAGTTTATTTGGCCATAGCATGGAAAGGCTATTCAGCAAGGACACAACATTTGCTCAGGTGAATCAACCCTTATGTCTCCATAAAAAGTAATACAGCAACATAGGATGAAGGCTTGAACTAGGGCAGTGGCTGTATGTTGTGAAGAGAAAAGGAAGGCTTTGAGAGAGACTGTGGAGATAGAATCGATAGGATTTGGCAACTGATTGGATGTTGGGAGGAGGGGAGAGGGAGAAGAGACCTCTGAACCTGAACTGCTGGAAAGATGTCTGTGTCCTCCACAGAAAAGGGAAAGTCAGAGAAAGGGCTGAATTTGTGAAGGAAAATAAGATGATGTATATAAAGCCATTTGAAAACTATGACATAATGAACAAAACTGCAAGTTTAATCCATAGTTTTTCTTACTTGTTTCTTTTAATTTTTTAATTAAATGCCAGAAGGAAAAAGAAAGCATTTCTGTATACACAGCAAAACACAAAAAGAGAATTGTATATGAGACCTTGTATCTGAATTTCCTTCTGCTTGTTTTTTTTAAGTACATAATACATTCTAAACATTTCTTTCAGAACTGGCCAGCTTTTCTCTGCTTCCTTCTAAATTCTCCTCTGTTTTCCTCCGTGCACTTTTAAAAATGTTTCAGTGGTCCTCTTTTTTTTTTCTTTTTTCATCTGTAAAGTGAGCTGGCAAAGGGAATGGTAAACCACTGCAGTATCTTTGCTTAGAAAACCCAAATCGAGTCACGAAGAGTGAGAAACGACTGAACAACCCTTTTCTTTCCCCTCTTAAAACCCTCAAATAAGAACCAATACCCCTTAGGGTCCTGGAGCTTAAGGTCCTCTATTTTGGGGTTTGGTTTTGTTTTGTTTTTTAGCTTCTTAAATATCTTTTGAAGACATTAACATGCTGCAAGAGATAGAGTATCAGACTTGGCCTCAGTAAGGCCTGAGTTCATATCCTATCTCAGATGCTAGCTATGACCCTGGGAAAATGATAACCCCTCTCAGCCACAATTTCCTCATTAT